CAGCTCCGATGTACATTGTACTATCTCAATCACAAGAAAAGATAAGTACAAGTGCTAACGCACACTATTCTAACGACGGGCACTGCAACTGCTTTTATTAAAGGCATTTTTAGTATGAATAATCAGCCGCGTTAACTGGTTACCGTAGTAAACCGACGTTTCGGGAACAAACGCTGCCCCCATCTTCAGGGACAAACGCTGTCCCCATCTTCAGGGTTTTATTCGTTGTACTCGCCGCGAAAGTCTCAAATTCTATATAATCAGGCTTTAGTATGGTTTATATAAATATGGTTGAATTTAAATCCATCCACAGTGCTACGTTCCCTCTTATCGCGTAAAGATTGGACCTGAAACGACAGTTTAATCTCTTTTAATTTCAGACCTCTCATAACAAAACGAGGGAAGGTATAAAATTACATTGCATCAACTGAATCACTGGAAATACAAATCAGAATTGTGAAATGCGTGAAATTCAAACTGGTTGCCAGTTAGCATCTGTCGACATTCTGGGAAAAAAAAAATGGGGTCCTACATGACGAAGGACGAGAGAGAGAGATGGACAACCTGAGCTTACAGAGAAGAGTGGAAAATGCTGTATACAATGTGGGGTCTGCCTACCACAGATTTGTCATTCGCCGGCCATTTGTCAAAAAAAATATACAGAAGTAGAAAAATGTACATAAAAGCACATAACTTATAAAGATCATAAAATAATTTGGGCACATTTGTGATGGCGGTGAGTTTTTTTTTTATTTTAAGGTACGAACCGCGTTTAAAGATACCGTTTAGATGAGAATTGTCCGTGAAAGGGTTAAAGTCTCTGAGGTAGACAGCCCAGATACGCCCAAAATGTAGTCACATCCTCATGTAAAGAGCATCTTAAGAAGAATTAAAGCCACTTAAACTGCGTATGTATGTGTGTGCGATAATATTCATATAACAGGATTCGCCAAAAATACGTCAATTAGGCAGCTGATAATGACATCACAAAAATTAAATACCGAATTTAAACTAAATCAGGCTTGTCCAGGCACCGTTTCTTGCGGAGGGACTGATGGAAGAAATTATAAAAAATGCTCTTTTAAAATGTTGTTCGGAACACGCCCAAGAAGACATTATTATGCAGGATTTCAGGTTTTCACGGCGGTGAGTCTGAAGACAGACATCTTCAAAATATTACTAATATTTATTTCATAGGACAGACATCTGTTACGAACACTTAAAAAGTTACAAACATTAGCTTAAACAGCGACTTGAGGTTCTCTACGTCGGTCAATATCTGGACTGTGGTCATGACGGTCACACCTCCATCTTCAGTGTAATTTTTTCATTCCTTGCCTGCTGTGAGCAAGGATTCTAAAAAAAAGGGAGTGTTCAACTTCACGTTCCGATCGCTTTATTCGCAAGGAAGGAGACTGGTATACACAATGGAAAAAAGAGAATGGATTGGCCTCGTGGTCGGCAGAGTTGGGAATCGAACTCCGACCTTCCGCCTTTATACACTCACTATCATTATAATCGTCGTCATTATCTGTATCACGACCATAAATTACAGGCGGCTGGAAACAAAATGCTTAGGAAAAGAGTTGCTGTGAGACAACACGCAGCTTAACAGTTGTTTTTCGGCGTACTGTCTCTTCCAAATATACACCATTATTTTAAATTTAATGAGAGCTGAATATTATTATCTGTTACACTTTTCTAACCCCACCTTTCCCATTTATGTCTAACTCTGTTCAAATATTCTTCTAAATGTATGATATGAGCTTTATTTGTACAGTTTACTATTTTCTCAGATGGCTGTCTTCGCCCTGATGATGGAGGCAGCAAGGACCTCTGAAACGTTAGTAGATTTATACCACACTACACGATGTTACTTCTACATAACGACGGATTTATGACCTACGCACGTACCTAGTATTAACACTATAGTAAAATATTGGGGGCATACAACATTTTGTTAGTGAAACCTTCTGGAAAACGCACAATCAGAAGTCCGTGCAGATGAGAGTATAATATTAAGACGGATCACGGAGAGAACGGCTATGCGTATCGGAAGTTGACGAAATTATCTGCCAGGATAACGCCTATTGAAGTCTTTGGTTATCAGCTGTGTTGAACTTCTACACCAAAGACTTAATTATTAGTACGACCGATCACTATTATTCAATGTTAATTTAATCCCAAGGTATCATCAACCTGCCTCAAGGCCATGAACTTGAAACTCGAAGTACGCTATTTCAAATTCTGCAGAAAGTGCCTCCTTCTTCACAGTATCTGAGTAACCTTCCACGAGGCAATCATCTTAATTCTGTAATAAGCGATTACGTGACTTTGTAAGGCACATGTGCGCTTTTCTTGAAGAGACCACAGACCTTGATTGCTTACCACGGGAGACTGCCGCCACCAACAAGCGAGCACCAGGAGGGAGCGAAGTAGCAACAGCGGAAAATTTGTACAATTGTGGGTTTTCGCCAGAGATTTAGCGAACTGCTTTCCTCCTTCGTGACCTCAAGCCCAAGACTTGGATCTCCTCAGTCCTTACCGGTATATATGAGGAGATTAACTCAACAATAAAGTTGATCCATTATATGAAAATATCTGGACACGACCTCCAAAAAAACTACACTACGAAAGAAAGAAAAAATTGTAAAAAATTGTAATTGAGTTTTAAATTTAATATAATTTTACACCTGATGATGGTTTAATAAAACCGAAACATGTTGTAACTGTTCCAATTGTAAATCGATTATTCGATATGGAACACAGAATGATATTTTAATTATTTTAATTATCATATTTTAAATACATTGTGATTTGACGGAAAACCAAATAATTAATTTTAATTAATAAGTCACAATATGACGCAACTACACTATCTTATCAACCCTTTAAGACAAACTGGAGGTATGATGTTAACTAACACCTAGATTCATGGGTCAATTTATTGGGGAGACACGGACACACGGACTAATGGACGTTATCAGAATGGAAAAGCACATAAAGCACTCAGATATGGTATTACAAACATATCTTCCATTATAAAACAAATAAATAGCTATTACCGACTTTCTTGCCCTAGAAGAGTATATTCATAATATTACCGATAAAACACGAGACGCTCAAATTGCTGTTCCCTGTGGAAGGATGAGGAGAGGAAAGTAATCGATACCAGGTGATGGATGTTGGCTACGGAACTAGGTCAGATTCGTCTGACTACTGGGAACTGCAATAACACTGCATTTCCTAGGTAAGGTAGGTAGGTCAGGTTCCCCTTCGTTTCCACACGCTTCACGAGGCAACGCATACTTCTACTGAAGGCCTCCATCCATGGCTTGTATTGTGTCACTTGGAAATGACAGCAACAAATCAAAATTACATTCACGAATACATTAAGAGAGGATTAAATTCAAGGAATGCTTGCTGCCATTTAGATTAGACACTCCTTTGTCTCGCAGGCTCCTGGCTGGAAACGTATAGACTAAAATGTTCTGAAATATAATAGTACCCATGGGTTGTGTAGTCTGAAGATTGGTCTCGTACCCAGGGTGTTTGGAAACAAGGTGTTGAGGAGAATATTTAATCAGAGTGAGGGAGTAACAAAAGACTATAAATAAATAAATAAATAAATAAATAAAACTGCATAATGACGAGCTTCATAATCCGCACATTTCATGAAATATTAAATGGGCGAAGTTTGGTTTACAATGGGTAAGACAATAAATTCATACACAATTTTTGTCCAAAAAATATGACACAAAGAGACCAACTGGGGGGGGGGGACCTAGACGCAGATGGGTTAATATTAAAATTAACTTTAATAAGGCGAGTGTGACCCCAGGTCTAAAAAGGCGCCCTTGCTTCAAGGGTTCAGAAGTGAAAGAAACGATAACCAGTTTATCGTCATTCTAAGAAAAATGTTTATCAATTTCATACAGTTTCCTTATAGATTTCGTAATTAAAGACGTCGAAGACAGAAATTACTGAGAAAAATATTGTTCGTGAAGAACTCACGATAAAGAAAGACAAAATTAACACAAAGCGAGAAGAGGCAGGATCGGGAAACACTTCTCTAAATGTTTCTGCCACCTCAAACAACGAAATCAATGCGAGGAAGGTTGAGTACCTGGACTGTTACCTCAACCTCAAAGATGTGAAACGTTATTATACAACAAGAATGTACGACGCATCAACCCAGAAGCACACTGTCGTGAAAAGACCGAGTCCTATACTAACACTTATCACTTCCAACGATGCTAAATGATTTTCAAGCCCTAAAGATGCTTCAAAACCTTGTCCACAAGAGCCCGCCATCGGCCCCAATCCTGAGCCAAATTAATCCAGTTCAACCCTTAAACCATATTTCCCGAAGATACACTGTTATGTTATCCTGCCATCTTCGCCTAGGCATTCCAATCAAACGTAAATATTTCAGTAACAGCAGGCGTGAACTATGCTCAGGCAGGTCAGATACTAGGATATGGTGGTCACCCGATTACGAAATTGTGACCGGAGGTTTCTGCGCAGTTCCCGATTGAAAGAAATATCTGTGAGGTCCAAAATGTCTCGATATTAATGTTTCAAATGAGTGTCAAATAGCTACTCGCGTACTGCTGTTTTATATTTCAATCATATAAAGTGTAAATGTGTTTCAACAAACTTCCGATTGTGGGGAAAAATATATCCTAGGTTCACGCCTGCAATTAGTAAAAGTAGCCGATTATAATTTTCCAATCCACGTGACGGCCTACGGAAGTCACAGGCATTTTTTTGTATAAACAATGCCGTATTTTGACTAAATACTACACAATCTTTTGAAGTCGACAGCTTCTGCACACCCTAATCCAGACTTCTTAGCTAAAACAGAAGATTTACTTACCCACAAGCCTCAGTAGCCCAGCACAGACATAAAGTTCCTTTATCAGCGATGCCAAGAATAAAATATCCTTCCCTCACACAATTTCTGATTCTTGCTAGGTTTTCACTGTGTGCTGCCTTACCTGAGGATAGCCGAGTAACGTCTCCACGGTATGAGTGACGAACAGTATCTTTCCCGTGGATGAGACAATGATCATAAAGCCATCCAGCACCTGAAATAGGATATTCAATTAATTATGCAACGTTTTTGCGATTTTAAGTTGGAAGAAATCAGGAAGGAAATCGAAAAGTACCACAAAACACTGAATTCAGAAGATTTGCCAAAAGAAATCTGTACGGCTAAAATAAAACTAAATAATAACCCAAATCAATATTAAGAATACAATGAAAATAGTTTATACGCATACACAACTCAACACCAACACTAATTTGACGTGTGAGGAGATTTAAATTTAATGTGAATGTTAGTGAATGCCAGCACAAAAAGTTGAGTAGAAATGACCTTTTTCTCTCAGTTCCATCTTTAACGTCAATAACTCCTACGGACTCACCAGATCTAATATAATAAATACTTCGAAAAAAAACCCCACAGATTATCCCCACAGATTTACCTCTCACTAATTGGCTGCAGTTTTGTAAAGATCACAAATTTTGCAGGAGAAAAATACGAGGTATAATACGACTCAACATAATAAACTTTAGATTTAGAAGCCTAGCTGCTGCTTATATAATACATATATATGTAATGAAAAACGTGTTAAGAGAAGTTAGTAACTTTCATTCTTAAGCTTATACACATGACTGGTAATTCTAAGAACCGTTTTATGGTATATTACTAATTCCGCAATACACAGACTTAATACAAAACCTGATAGTTACTGAGCCGTTCAAACCCTTCGGTTATGCAACTCGGGGATTTGTAAATGTGTTCACATAAATATGGCTGTCTTCTGGGACTTTACATCTCGTAGTCTACTAGATACAGCCCGTCGATACAGAAGGGCTTACTGCCTCCGTAAGTCCACCGCTGGAGTCTATCCAGAACAAGTTGAATCCAAACTACAAATCATTTGCTTTTGTTTTCATGTCATCGTTATCCTCAAATCTACGCATTAAAGTGATCCCTTTCCTTCACGTTTTCGAACTAAAACTTTGTAGCGTTTCTGGTCTCTGGCGTGCATTCGGCGTGTCCAGCCAAATTATCCACCCTTTATTCAAACACCCTAATAATTCTTGGCAAAGAGTACATATAAAGTTCTTAAATATTTCATTTTCTCTATTCTTACTTTGTTCACGTAGTCTTATGTTCTTCATTTATATCGGGAGACCAACATTCACGCCAATTTCGTATATGATTCGACATTCCAATCAGAAATAACACAGACAGTACTGAAGGGACTTCGATTAGAAGATAAACGTAAATAACTCTGTTGCAGGCAACCTTTGTACTATTGTGACATCACAATGTTCGGCACGGATCGAGACTCAGAACTGTGAGACGGGCCAAATAGATACGTTTCGAAACAGAGTATGACCATCTGTACTTTTGCCGTAGAACTTAAAAAAACAACAACCGGTATTGCAACCGCGGTCTAATTCCCAGGAACTGCCTTCCGCCACCGCTGCATGATCGACTTAGGTCCCACACGGGGTGGCTATTTCCTCAGAGGACAAAGGTATTAGGTGTAGCTCATTCCCCGACTCTATCTATCGCCGAGGTCAACAAAAATAGCAAATATTCGCAGAGCGAAACAACTCAGGCGCGTTCGTCAGAATTTCACATTTGATCTTTAACCAAGGTAACCAGGGCAACCATGGTAACCAAGGTAGCGTAGTGATTCTCAACCCTGCCGCTGTGGTGAGTAAACACTCGTACAGACCTTCATGTAAAGCATTCGTTATTGTTGTTCAACTTCAACAAACACTTGAACATATCGACATTTTTCTCCCTAATCAATACCAAATCTCAGGAAAATCCGTTCGACCTTTCTCAAGTCCTTCATGCGTACAAACGGAGCTCCTAAAAGGGTGGAGCGTTACCCCCACCTTCAAAATGTTTTCACGGCGCAGTGTCCAAGCCTAGGGATTATTTCATTTGTGACTGCTATCCATAAAAGAGGGGACAATACTGAGTGCAGTAACTTCCGAGGTAACTCTCTTTTGTCAACGTCATACAAAATGTTATCGAATATTTTTCTGGCACGGTTAAAGCCATTTATAAATGGAACTATCGGGGACTATCAATGTGGATTCCGCCGTAATAGGTCAACTATTGATCAGATCTTTTGCATTTGACAAATATTAGAGAAAAACTGGGAGTGCGATGGGCCAGTTCACCAGCCATTTGTGGACTTTAGGAAGGCATAAGACCCAGTTAGAGGAGAGGTACTGTATGGCATTCTGATTGAGTTTGTAATACCAAAAAACTTGTTGGGTTAATTAAGATGTGTATAGACGGGATAGACCGCCACGGTGGTCTAGCGGTTAGAACGCTGTCCTTTTAATCCTGGGGTCTCGGGTTCGATTCCCGGCGGTGCCCGAATTTATAACTTGTGTTGGGCAAGGCCGTGGTCTAGGCAACACGGAGTTTTCCTCCGGGGGCTTCCCCGGTTTCTCCGTGGCATCCCATTCACACACAGAAGAAGGCAATGGCAAACCACTTCTGGATCATCTGCCAAGAACGTATATGAACAGGTCCCAGTCCGAGAAGAGAAAAGGATGGAAGGATCCTGTTCATATGGACCTGTCGTCACACAGAACACTAAATAAATAAATAGACGGGATATCTGGTAGAGTTCGTATGGGTAACCTTCTGTCAGATACTTTCCCAGTGCACAACGAACTCAAACAGGGGGATGCTTTATGCCCAATGCTTTTCAATTTTGCTCTAGAACAGGAAGGACGGTCAAAGGGCTTCAGGAAGAGCTCGAATTGAATGGTCTGCACCATGTACTTGCCTATGTTGATGATGTCAATTTGCTGGGGGAAATAAAAATGAGGTCCATGAAGAAATTAAGAGTTGAATACATTCGGGGAAAGCTTGTTTTTATTCAATTCAAAACTGTTATCTTCTCGTTTATAGTCCAAAACACTGAAGATCAGAATATATAAAACAATAATTTTGTCGGCTGTCTTGTCTGGTTGTAAAACATGGTCTCTTACTTTGAAGGAATAACGTAGATTACAAGTGTTTGAAAACAGGCTGCCATGGAGGATATTTGAGTCTAGGAGGGATAAAATAATTTAGAATATTGCATAACGAAGAGCTGCGTGAATTGTACGGGTCACCTAGCATAGTGAGGATAGCGAAATCTAGGAGGCTCCGATGGACTGGAGATGTAAAACCGCGCCCCCATGTCGAGAACCACATAATGTCAAATGCGGGCTATATTTGGCCCGCGGGCTGCTTGGTGACAGTAACGACATGAAAGCATCATAACATCAAACAGAATCAGCAAAGTCCAATGAATATAGGTCGGGAAATGCTTCGGTGAAAGATGACGGAGAACTACTGAACGAACTTTTATTAAATATGGCACCGGGAGTTTAATCTAAGAGCTATTTATTTATTGTGCGAGTTCATGTTCGTCCGTATTTGTCCACTGCGCAACTCAAACTTGAAAATAAAACTGAAACATGGCTCCATCAAATTTCTCAGCAACAGAGCATCCATGAAAAAACAAGTTTTGGAAATAACTCACTCATAAAGACGACTTTCGTATTGCGCAGAGAAATCTTTTGTCGTTAAGTCATGTTTAGGAAACGTAATTTAATAATCCAGCGTAACAGAAGGTGTCTACTGCCTTCACCATATCGGAAATCGCCCTGATGATGGAGACAGCAGGCCCTCCGAAACGTTGGAAAATTTCTACGAGATAACACGGCACAACCTCCCAGAAAACAGCCATCTTCAACCTAAAATACAGATTTCAAAGCAGCGTGTACTTTGGACAGGGAACACATACAAAGTTCTTGGGGGTGTGGCTCTGTGGACTGGCAACCAGACTGAATTCAAGCGAGTTATAAAAAAAACGGTAATGACACGTACATATGATGGCTAATCGTAATGCAATACTTGTAACACAAAACGAGTATACCTACAACTCAGCTGAAAAAAGGACTTCAGACCGTCATAGCAAGAAAATACGTGAGTAATGTCTCGTGATAAGGTACAAATGAAAACGCAAACTGATAAACTGCACTTACAGCTGTTCCTTCTTGTGCATTTTTTTTCCAGAAATATGTACATAAAACAATTGCGAAAATTGGGCGTTTCATTCATTCATCGCCCTCATGACGGAGGCAGTATGACCTCTGAAACGTTGGTAAACATCGACCA